AACTGGGAGGAGGGGAGTTATGGTGGGAAAAAAGAGGAACAAATGTAATAATCTGAACAATAAAGATTTAATTTAAAAAAAATGAGAGAGAATCATTGATTGGCTGCCTCCTGCACGCCCCCTACAGGGAATCGAGCCCATAACCCAGGCATGTGCCCTTGACCAAAATAGAACCTGGAATCTCCAGTCCCCATGCCGACACTCTATCCACTGAGCAAAACCAGCTAGGGTTCAATATATGATTTTTGAGTCCGTAGCACCAACAAACACCAAGGATTGCCAGCAACACCAGAAGCTAGGATAGAGGCTCCCCAGCAGAGCCTGCAGAGGGCGTGCGGCCCTGCCAACACCTTGATTTTGGACTTTTGGCCTCCAGACGAAAAATTTCTGTTGTTGTACGCCACCCAGCTGGTGGTGCTTTGTTACAGCAGCCCTACCTGACTAATACAACATCCATCAGACTTCTGCTTCCTCCAGGAAGTGGTGTGTGATGCCCCAAGGAAGTGTCTCTCTCAGAGTAGGGACCACACAATATTGATACCAACCATGAGCTCAATGAGTTCCTGCATTAGGTCTGTCCCCTTGACCCTGACACCTCCAAGGCACCTCCTTACCTGCAGAATGAATAAAAGATCTCTTGACCTACAGTTACTAACTGGTTCCTTATGGGCCAAATCTGGCTCAGATGTACTTGCTTGCCCTGCATAGCATTTTCAACATCTTAAGAAATTATTTACCAACATTTATGAAGTATAATATTTCTAAAAAATGTTCTATTTCCACTTACTTTTGGAAAATTGTTAGCTGACAGTCCCACATATCCACAGATGCTGGATGGGACAGGTGCCATCCAGTTCACCCCAGCCCCCACCAGGTCCTGGCATCTTACTCTTGGGCTCCTAAATTAATTTTCATTGGTGGAAAGCAGATGAGGTGTCATTCCCTAACTAGGCCCCATGAAGCTCAGCTTCTCCATCTCTCAAACAGGGATGACAACACCTGCCTCTCAGCACTGCTGCAGGGATCAGAGGATGTGTGCCAAGTGCCTGGCAGGTAGCAGGTAGAAATGAGAGGTGCTAAGACTAGTACCAACACTAACAGATAGAAGCATCCACGGGAAGACTCCTCCTCTGCCGAGCTCCCCCCTACTATGTCTCAAATCAATTCTCAAAACAGACGTGGAAGTTCTGAAAAAGCTCTAGCGGCTGGTGCCCCCCCCCGCCCAGCCCCCAAGGTCACATTCTTATGACAGACACCTGTGCCCAGCTTGAGTCTCAGAGGCAGCCTCTGCCCAACAAAGGCAAATCAGAGATGCCCAGGACACTCTTCTGGAATCAGACCTCGATGGAATACGTGCTTCACGTACAGACCTAATCCTCCCAGTCTCCTCAGGAGCCCAGCCCGCAAGGTTTCATACAGTGGACAAGGCACAAAGAGGGGCTCAGTCTGGTTTCCTGTCACAATCCACTTCATAGCTTTTAAAACTGCACATTCCCAGGCCCCTGGGATTGGATTCTCACTTGTATATATATAGCATTCTGGCACTGGGCATTGGGGTAGGATCAGATTTAGGCCCACTGTTGTAGACCAGTAGCGGAAAAGCCTATAAAAGAGAAATGCCCGGTTCCCCTGAGAGGCAGCAATGCCTCCTCAAAATATCAGCCCTCCTCAAAAATTTAGAGCCTCAGCTTCTGGTTATGTAACAATTCATCTATTCACTCATTTATTCACACCTTGGCTTCAACCGCTATTGACATGTCCACACCCCTTTGGAAAGACTATTTTCTGAACTCTAAACCCTCAGGCATGCTGTAACTGGTTTGGCTCAGTGGATAGAGCGCTGGCCTGCGGGCTCAAAGGCCCCAGGTTCGATTCCGGTCAAGGGCATGTACCTTGGTTGTGAGCACATCCCCAGTAGGGGTTGTGCAGGAAGCAGCTGATGGATGTTTCTCTCACATCCATGTTTCTAACTCTCTATTCCTTTCCCTTCCTCTCTGTAAAAAAATCAATAAAATATATTTAAAAATAATAATAAAATAAACCCTCAGGCATAAATATCTCTACTGAACTATCACCAAGGCACCTCAACCTCAGCATGTCCCAAATGGAACACGTGACATTCCGCAAAGCCCTGACCCTCTGCTGGTGTTTTTGGCCACAGCGAATGCCTCTACATCTACCCACCTGGGCAGGCCAGGAACATAGCTGTGTCAGCCTTTCTCCCTCACCTCCCCATTGGGTCTGCCATCTAGTCCAGAATGTGCCTTCATTATTCTGTCACCTGCACTCAGGTTTGCATGACAGGAATATCAGTCAGGGTGGCTACACTGTGGTAACAAGCAGAGGTAAACACTGCAGAAGATGTTTCTTACAGATTAACAGTCCAGGGTGGGTGTCCAGGCGAGAAGCGACACCCTTCCACATGATGACCTAAGGACCCAGGCCCTTCCATTTTGTGGCCCTACCATCCCCTTGGGCCTTGTCATCTGCAGCTGGCAGAGGAAACTTGGGGAAGAACTAGTGTGGGAGTCTTCACAATCCAGGCCTGGAGGGGGCACACTCAACTTCCACTCACATTCAGCCTCACCTACAAGGGACCCTAAGAAATAAACTTAGCTGCTTCCATAAGGAAGGCAAAAACAGAGTAGGTGCCCAGTCCTCACCACAATAGGCTTTCAACAACTGCATGTTACTGACAATGAAGGGACCCACTAGAGCAGTGGTTCTGAACCTTGGCTGCACATTAGAATCACCTGGGAATCTTTTTAAAATCCTGATTTCTGGGCCTCATCCTCTGGAAATTCTGTTTCTTTGTGATGGGCTGGGGCCACAACATTAGTAACAAAGAAACAGAATTTCCGGAGGATGAGGCCCAGAAATCAGGATTTTAAAAAGATTCCCAGGTGATTCTAATGTGCAGCCAAGGCTGAGAACCACTGCACTAGAGGAAAGCTTTCCTTCCGCCTGTCATCCCTTCAGGGAACGTCACCAAGAACTTGTGCTGGGGAATATGCCGGCCTCCACCATCAGAGCCACTCTGCCCTGAGAGCTGAACATTCTCTCCAAAGGGTGAGATGAATGCTGTATCAGGGAAGCACAGGAGGAGAGGCACACGCGGGAGGCACTGAACCAAGCTAAGGACGGGGGTAGGAAGGATAAGACTTCCCTAGAACAGACAGGCACCCAGGCTGCACCATGAAGACTAAATGGCAGGGGGGTGAGGAGAGGAGGGTCCTCCAGGCAGAGACGGGAGGGAAAAGGGGGTTTGGGCAGGGAAAGCAGACTGTTTGGGAAACTGTAAGTAGCCCCACGTGATACACAGGAGCTGAGACGGTGCCATTGGGCAGGGGCTTTCCACGCCAACAACACAGGATTCCCTTTATCCACCAGAAACAGGAATCAGTGAGTCCTGGGACAGCAATAGTCCAAGGGTAGGGATGGAAAAGAGGGTCAGTATGAGACATTAAGGAGATTAAGGAGGAGAAGGCAGAACTGCCTCCATGTGTGGCTACAATCCCAACTCCGTGCATAGGGCAAGATGGGCAGTAAGGCTGGAAAGCTGGACCATAACCACCGGGTGGATGGCCTTGAATGCTAGTCCGGGCAAGAAAACTGGTAGGCAGATACTGTCTGCCTCTCTCAAGGAGAAGACCATCCCACCACAGGTGACAGTCTCTCATCTCCTGGTTCACCTGCCTGCAGAGGCATGGCCTCTTTTGTCCATTTCTTCTAATACAAGAGATGATTGCTTTCAAAGATCAGGCTCAAACCCCTCGTTAACAGAGAAGGAAACCAAAGGGCACAGGAAGAGAGAGCTCTATTCAAGCTGCTGTAACAAAAATACTTAAAGACTGAGTGGCTTATAAACAAACATTTATTTCTCACTGTTCTGGAGCCTGAAAAGTCCAAAATCAAGGCATTGGCAGGCTTAGTGTCTAATAAGAGCCAGCTTCCTGGTTCACAGAGGCTGTCTTCTTGCTGTGTCCTTACATGGTAGAAGGAGTGAGGGAGCTCTCTGGGGTCCCTTTTATGAGAGCACTAATCTCATTCATGAAGAGTTCCATCCTCATGACCTAATCGTCTCCCAGAGGCCCTACCTTCTAATATCGGCACCCCCAAGCTTCAGTCCCGAGCAGGGCTACACAACAGAAATATGATACAATGAGAGCCACAAATGCAAACACGTGTATAACATTTCCTAATAGCCACATTAAAAGAGAATTAGGGGAAAAAACGAGTATTAGACGATTAGTAAAAAGGTAAAAAGAAACAGGTGAAATTAACTTTAATGAAACATTTTATTTAGTCCAATTTATCCAAAATATTATAATCTCAAATGTAATCAACACAGAAAATTGTATTACTTGTTTTTCTGGACTACCTTTGAAACCCAGCATGGATTTTACACTTACAGCACATCTCAATTCGGACCAGATGCTTTATTTTATGGGTTTATTTGAGCTAAACTGATGACATGCCAGTAAGCAAGATCTCAAATGCTCTCCGGACCAGATAATTTTCAGTGGCTCGGTAGCCACATGTGGCCAGTGGCCACTAGATTGAACAGCACAGACATAATCCAGGGATTGGCAAACTATGGCCCATGGCCCAAATCTGGTCAGTTGTCTGGTTTTGTATGACCCTCAAACAAAGACTGGTTTTTAAAGAATAGTATTTCATGACTTATAAATTCTAGGAAATTAAAATGTAGTGTCTGTAAAAATAAAGTATTTAATTCTGTCAATAAAAGTGTATAGAAATGTTTTATCTCCTCTTATATTACGTACTTACCTCCATAATACCCTCGATTTTGCCTTTTGGTTCACACAGTAGACAATACCATCGGATCCTGTGTAGGAAAAGTTGCCCTGCCCTGTTCTAGCTCCCCCTAAACTCCAATACAGGAGCTCCAGATGTGGCTTTGGAATCAAGAGGCCCAACCCAAATCCCAGCTGCCAGGCGTCCCAGCTCTGAGATTTAGAACTAGCCATTTCCCCTTTTTGACCCTCAATTTTCTTCACTGAAAATCGGGACAGCACTCAAATGGGTGGAAAGAGGGTGAAAACCCAGCACAGGCCACGAGCCGGTCACTCATCCACTGGCCACTGTCCCTTGCTCTGCACCTCTGGCTGCAGCACCTGCCCACCGAGGCCCCTCACCTGACTCAGTATCTCCTCGGGTGACCGCCCCGCCAGTCGCCTTCTCCCAGCGTCCTGAGCCATCTCCGCCTCCTCTGGCCGGAGCCCCACATCCGCAGCTGCGGGATCACCGTGGCAGCGAAAGCCTGCATCTGCCTAGATTAGAATAACTTCCTCCCTCCCTGCCTCACCAAATCCTGTTTCCTGCAAGTTGATACCCACGCCCCGCCGGCAGGGCCACGAGGTTCTCAGCTCCGCGGCTCCGTCTCCAGACCCGACCGTAGTGCTTCCGGCACGCCCTCGGGGCGACCTGCGCACGCGCAGGGCTCGGCTCCCTCCAAGTGAGGATCAGTTCCCAGCTGGACCTGCATGGAGGTTCCAACAACTACTGTGTCTGGCCTAGTGAAGCGTGGGCCAGATGTTCAGATCCAGTCCTTTCTTTCCCCTCGACCCCCATGATAAAAAGCCTCCTCAATTCCGACACCCCACCCCTTAATCCTGCCTGCTCCCTGACTCAGCAACGCTTCCTCCCAGGCACACCCCGGCCCACCTCGCCTAGTCCTTCTGCCGGCTTCTGCCTTCCCAGAACCAGCTCCAGTCACCCTCTCCCCGCCCAGGTCAGCCAGATCACCTGCTGATTGATGTTGGTCTTAGCGCCTGGCCCACTATTTTCCTTTGTCACCTCCTGCCTATCTTTTCCTCCTTGTGGGGCACGGCTACAGTGTTTTGGCCAGGTTCAAGCCTCGGACTAATGAAAGGACAGGGTCCTCTCATTGCCATGTGCAAGTCCCAGCTGGAAGGGTAGGGCCCTCCCAGCACAATTATAGCCAACGGCTGTGGTTGTAAGCTTGAACCTATGGTCCAAACACGTGGCCCCACGTGCCTTGTGCTAGAGTTCAGGTGCATGTAGTTGAGTGAGGTTGAAACTCACGAGAATGCTGTAAACAAGGTGGTCACACCCCTACTTGCCTCCTGGCATCTGCTATAAAATA